TCCGTCGGAAATTGATTTTCCAGGAGATTGGTGAGTGATAAGATGAATCCAAGGCTATACTCGGGCTCAGCGACTCAAAATACAGGGTGATCTAAAAGTCCCTTCCACCCCTTCTAACTTTTTACCTAATTGAGGTAAAGATTTGAAACTTGAATGTTCCCATATCAAAGGGGGCTACTTTTTGGCCCCCTAAAACTTTCAGGGGGGCCACTCTTGGGGGGGGGGGCAACGGACCCCAACTTTTTCTTTCAAATAGGAAGACCCCCTTTGTGATAGCTCGTTCGAAAGAGTATAAAACAGGAAAATTTTTCAAACCCGGAGTCAATTTTTCAAATCATTTCAAAATGGCGACCGGTTAAAGTTCAATATGGCCGATAATGCACACCGGTTATTTGTCGATGGATTTGTGCGAAAATCGGTATGCAGGGGTATTTTGACACGAGAAAAACGAATTTGACGTTAGATTTTCTAAAAACCGAAATTACCAAAATGGCCGCCGGTTAAAGTTCAAAATGACCAAAAATTGATTTTCTTAGAAATCTAAGTTCAAATGTGTTTATCTTATGCCAAAATACTCTCGAATTCCAAGATTTAGGCAAATCCATCAGCAAAGAACCGAGGTGACAATTTTCGGCCATTTTAAACTTAAACCGGCGGCGGCCATTTTGGAAATTTCGGTTTTTTGAAAATCTAACGTCAAATTCGTTTTTCTCGTGTCAAAATACCTCTACAGTCCGATATTCGCGCAAATTCATCGACAAATAACTGGTGTGAATTTTCGGCCGTTTTGAACTTTAACCGGCCGCCATTTTGGAACAGTTTGAGATATTGACTTCGGGTTTGCGCGAAAAGTTTTATTTTTTTATGCTTTTTCAAACGAGCTATCACAAAGGGGGTCTTCCCATTTTAAACAAAAAAGTTAAGGCCCGTTGCCCCCCAAGGGAAGCCCCCCTGAAAATTTTAGTGGGACCTAAGAGTAGCTACCTTTGACCAAGGATCATTCCCCAAGTTCCCAATCTTTACCTCAATTAGGTAAAAAGTTAGAGGGCGTGGAATGGACTTTTGGATCACCCTGTACTTGAGAATTGATGTATCGCACGTTGCAAACTTTTTTAAACCGTATTTTTAATGCAGTCCATATTATGCAAATACTTTAATGGAGTCCAGGTAAGCCTTTACACAAAAGGCTCGGAAAAGTCGAATTTACTGGAAAAACTGGGGCGGAGATGGAAAGTAACCGAGGTCATATTCGGAATCAACGGCCTAGAGCACGTAAGAATCACTCTACCGCGGGTCCAGGAAAATTTATACAAATAAATTGCATGCAAGACTAATATATGTGCGTCAAAGAGGGTTATTCAAAATCGGCGATTTTGCCCTATTCTTGGATTTTGCCGGGAGTTGGATATGTTGTTCCCTGTCACAAGACACGCCTTTTTCCGGCATTGGCAAGTTCACCAGAAATTTTTACCGCGCGCTACAGCGTTGCCAAGTTGAAAACAGGCAGATTCCGTAAGTGGCATAAAAATTGAGCTATGAAGTTGCGGTTTTAACGAAAATTTCTCTAAAAATTGCGCACTTTTAGAAAATGACCATCTTTTTAATGTCGCATTAATTTTAACATGTAGTGTTGCCAATTTTTCGATTTTTAAATTCGACAAATTTTACAAATCCGGAAATACCCAAAAAAGCTATCTACAAATTTGAATGAAAAGTTGTCTAATCGATAGTTCGTTTGATTCCGCATCCATCGATATATTATAGCTCGCAGGGAAACTTTTGGTTCGCGAGATATCATCATTTTTGTAAACAGCTTTATGGAGCGACGACGCTTTTTGAGTCCGGGCAGATAGAAATTTTAGTCTCCAAAAACACCGGGTAGCATTAATTCCATGGTTTCCTTAGTAATTTTTGGCGCTGAATCCGAATTTGACCATTTCATTTAAAAATTGTTGCCAAGAAGTTGCCAAATTGGGCAAAAATGGCTTAAAATCGGCCTTTTTGGCGGATTATGGCCAGTGACTTGCCAGGAGTTGATCAGACGACAAAATTGGTTACTTCCACAGTTAAAACTCAAAACCTGAGTCAAATTCTTCCTGCTCGCGGCAAAATTAAATGCGCGACAAGCAGCAAACTGAAAAAAAGACACCAAAATCGGCGCTTTTTGCGGTTTTTGTCCTAAGTTTCTGGTTTTCCGACTGAATGAACATTTCTTAGGAAAATCTGAATTACACAGAGTGTAACGACAAACTATTGTATTGTTACATACATAGATAGGAGCTGCTTTAACAGTAGTCCCGCGCCCCGCAACGCCTAACTGCCATAGTTCCATGTCCTCCCACAGGTCCTCAGTAATTTGGAGCGCCTTTCTTCCTTTAAGCCTCTTATTGCCCTTTCCTAGGCGGCTTCTTCACTTTGGTATTGATACTTTTTTCTATTAAACTCCATTTTCTCAGAATTATAAAATAAAACCGTATACTGAATATAGGGCGATGAATAATAACTGTCAAATACCGCCAAAATTCAACGATTCTACGTAATTTTGGCAATATTGCAATGCGTCTTGTCTTGTTTTAATGAAGTCAGTCGGAGGAGTACATTTTATTCATTAATTTTTAGCAGAAAGTTTTCCATTACTGTTTCAAAATGTGATTTATTGACACGATTCGACAAAACTCACTGCTTTATGAATTTTTCCTCTCTGGAATAAAAATCCTAGTAATTAGTTTATATCTAGGTTAAAAATTAAATTATTCTGCAAAAGTTTATTATTTTGCACGAGAGATACATTTAAATAATTTAAAAATAAGAAGTGAACAAAGAATATAGGACAAATATCGAAAAAACCGGCGAAAATTCAAGTATTTTGTTTAAGCTTGGCAACATCAGAATACGTTCGATTTTATTTTATTGTTCATTTTTATTAAATTCTGCTCATGTTGTTCATTAGTTTAGTCTAGAAACATTCTCTTAATCGGAAAACCAGAAACTTAGGACAAAAACCGCAAAAAGCGCCGATTTTGGTGTCTTTTTTTCAGTTTGCTGCTTGTCGCGCATTTAATTTTGCCGCGAGCAGGAAGAATTTGACTCAGGTTGTGGAAAGTTCAACGAGTTTTAACTGTGGAAGTAACCAATTTTGTCGTCTGATCAACTCCTGGCAAGTCACTGGCCATAATCCGCCAAAAAGGCCGATTTTAAGCCATTTTTGCCCAATTTGGCAACTTCTTGGTGACAATTTTGTTATGAAATGGTCAAATTCGGATTCAGCGCCAAAAATTACATAGGAAACCATGGAATTAATGCTGACCTGTGTTTTTGGCGGCTAAAATTTCTATCCGCCCGGACTCAAAAAGCGTCGTCGCTCCATAAAGCTATTTACAAAAACTATGATATCTCGCGAACCAAAAGTTTCCCAGCAAGCTATAATATATCGATGGATGCGGAATCAAACGAACTATCGATTAGACAACTTTTTATTCAAATTTGAAGATAGCTTTTTTGGGTATTTGCGGATTTGTAAAATTAGTCGAATTAAAAAATCGAAAAATTGGCAACAATGCATGTTAAAATTAATGCAATATTAAAATGATGGTCATTTCCTAAAAGTACGCAATTTTTAGAGAATTTTCGTTAAAACCGCAACTTCATAGCTCAATTTTAACGCCACTTACGGAATTTGCCTGTTTTCAACTTGGCAACGCTGTAGCGCGCGGGAAAAATTTCGGGTGAACTTGCCAACGCCGGAAAAAGGCGTGTCTTGTGATAGGGAACAACATATCCAACTCCGGGCAAAATCCAAGAGGGGGGTAAAATCGCCGATTTTGTATAACCCTCTTTTATGCAGCATTTTTTAGAGATAAAGCATATCTAATTCTCGACAATTTTGTGTTACCTGGAGTAATTGGATTGATCAGGGCCAGATTTATGATTTGGCTGCCTGGGGCTAACAACAGTTTCCCACCTCTAGATTTCAAAAGTGACAACCTTAGGCTTGTTAGTTTAGTTTTTCAATCGTTTGTAACAAGATTGAGACGTAGGCACAAGTATAAATAAAGAAATAATAAGATCATGACTTCTGAAATGTATGGTCTTGTTTCCGTAATTTGCAGCCAAGGACTCCAGCCGCCTCAGCTCCCCCTTCCTTCCTCTAGAAATTGATTCCTAAGTAACCTTTAGCACTGATTGTGAATTTTAAAAAAGTGCCTAAAAATCCATCTTGCAGGATTTTGTGCAAAGTGATAAAGGAGAGATTATTTGTTTTAGGGCCACAAGACTTTTCGTTATTTCCTTTTTCAATATTAGCGAATAGCGATTCATGCTAATTAGAAGTCAATAATGCAGTATTTCACATCGTCATAGACCATATTTTCTGAGATTGTTAAAACTGTATCATGTACCTTACATCATGGGAATCAATAGATCTCCCCCGCAAGTTAAAAAAAGAAAAGAGTGAGGGGGGGGGGGGCGGGAAAGCCTTCAAAGTCAAAAGGAACCCTCACAGAACGCCACTTATCAACTTTTCTGCACTAGTCACAGATGTCAACCATACTATAAGGAACCTTTAGGCGATGGACAATAGTTGATTTCGGGTCGGTTGGCCCTACATTTCTATAATAAATTTAAGATGTGTGCTATTTTTTTAAGCATAAGCAAACTGAAGCAAAAAAATTTCCCCAAGGATTAAGATAGAATGCAGCATGATTTTTCTTCAAGATTCAGGGAGAAGTCTTTTTGGTAAAGTCATTCCTCATACTTTCAACTTAGTTGTACAATTTTACTTGTTATTGTTTCTAATGGGACATGTAGGTACTTACGAAACCGAAAGTAACGGAAAACGGAATGAATCAAACGGAAAACCGAGCTAACATACTCTTAGCTATAAAAAAAAAATTCAGAATACCGGAAAATTAAGTAACCCAAACTCACAGAATGCGAAAACCGCCAATGCGTTAATTTAAGTAGGTATTTCTTGCTATTTTTCTTTTTTTTCTTTGTTTCAGGCACTATCCAATTGGAGTATTATTTGATCTATTTTTACCCGATATTTCTCTTCCGTGGGTCATTACTGCTAGATTTGATAAATTTCCAGACAATGAAATACTTCATTGCCCATCTAGGTAGGTAGTAATTAAATCTTTTGGCATTAACTTGTTCATGGCTCTACCATGTCAAGTAAAGAATAACTTAATATTTTGGTTCCACCCATGTATCAGTGAGTTTTACAATGGTTCTCAATTCTTATAATTGCCATCATTCAATAACAAAGGCTTAGTAGATTTTTTTAATGTAATTTAGTAACCTCAAAAGAAAAAATGCTTCTCAGAGCGTTTTATCTCTCTTAATATGGCAAAGAAATTCTCAAATAGTTGCTGTGTCAAATCGATGTATCGGTCCAAGTCTGGAGCCATTTTATGGATTTTTTAATGGTGGATCACATATTAAGAGGTAAAGGGAATTCATAAAGTCCATACAACAATTGGTTTATCTTTCTATATTCCATGAAGGGGCTGTGGCTCAACACTCAGTGAACCAAAAAAGTGAAATACATACAGAATGGAGCAGACTTAGTTACCTCATCCGATTTTTCTTCCTGGCTCATGGAAGTATTTTGATAAATTTTGAAAATATTTATTTGCAACTGTAGGCAGAACATTTTGTCTCAAAATAATGCATTATTTTATTAAAAATATGTGTCAATTGTCATCAAGGTGTAGTATTTTTTACCTTTGAGCGTTTTTATTATAGTATGCAGTGTTGACCTTTGACCCATACCCTGGTGTTGATTTTTCATCACATGCGGTGTCAGTATGAATTGTTTTTATCTAAAAATTTAATAGGAAAAATACAATTATAGAAGTGTAACTTTAAATTGTATCTTCTAGACACTTGAAAAATATTTTGATCTTCTTTCTCATTTGCTAAAGTAAGTTTTAAATTTTTTGCAGAGAAGCTGTTGAGTCTCATTTCATGTCATCAGTTAAAGAGGCTGATGCATTGAAACACAGGGGACAAGTGATCTCAGTAATGCAGAAGAAGGATCATAACCAACTCTGGTTGGGGCTTCAAAATGGTAATAAGTATGATTCAGAAAGTCTAGTAGTATTGCGCTCTCACCTATGGTCACAACTTTTTTATAAGTACAAAAAGTGACCCATTTTTTCTGTATCGGGTTCCGAATGTTCACGAAAGTTGCAGTAGTGAAGTAAAATATTGCTTTCTAAGTGAGGAAAGTCCCTGGAAGGACCCCTGCAAGTCGCAACATGGTCTGGTTGTGACATGCAGTATGCAGTGCAGTGTTTTCTCATCGGGTATAGTCAGGGCTTTAAAAAATGTTTTCAAATCGTTCTTACAATATTTTGGGACAAACTGACATTGGTTAACTGGATTTATTTATTTAAAAGTTTATTTTTGAAGAAAACCTGTGATTTTAAGGTATCTACCACTAGTTCATTTACCCTTAAAATTCTCAATTCAATATGATTAAACTGAAAGAAAGTTTCTACTTTCAAAGAAACTCTCAAAGTAGTTTCATGTCTCATCTGCTTACTTGAATAAATAGCTGGGCGACAAGTCTCACGTGGATCTGTCATGACTTTGCTTGACTACAAACCTATCGGAAGTAAGTTTTTTGACTCTGGTCTTTTCAACTGATTGCAGATAAATTTGACCAGTTTTGGGCAATCAACAAAAAACTCATGGAAATGGCATCAGGTGAGAGCGAGTTCAAGCATATTCCCATTAGATTCTACTGTGGCAACAATGCATTCATTCAAAAGCTCATTCGACCAATAAATGATGACGGAAAACGAAAAACATTACGAGCTGTGATTGAAGACATTTTTCCAACAGAATACAGTAATTGTAAGTATCATGCTAACGGTAAAGGTTAATGAGAGGTTGATACCAGAGAAAAAATGAAATAATTCACATTAAAATGATGAATGATTGACCAGCTGGTTGGGCTGCCGATTGGCTCAGGGTCACATTCCCTTGTCTAGTGATAAATTGGACGTATTTCTGTCAACTGGAACTATGTGCATTATGATGTGAGCCCTCATAATGCACATAGTTCCGTTTGATAGAAATACGACCAATTGGAACTCATGTAGATAAATTAGGATAGACCAGAAAACTTCTAGATGAAAAGGGATAAAACAGGAAGAATCAAGAAAGGAAGTGATAATCTAGGTTAACAGGGAAAAACCACCAGCCAGGGGCCCTCGGTCCCCTCGGTACCCTCAGATGCTTTGCATGCCTTGCTTCAGGAGAAGCTTCCGAAGCGGGGGTTGGGAGGATCCAAGAGTGATCAGTCCTTCACCTATTGTCATCCAGCGACAATATGTCAAGACCAACGCGTATTAAACGACCCACAACAACGGTATTACGGACAACATAGAGAAAACATGGTAGATAAAACATCATAAACATAAATGTATTTTGGCTTCATTATTTATCACAAGTTGCTCACTATAAGAGAAGGCTTACCTACAGGACTAAGCTAGCAACTGAAACGGAGGAATGAGGCAACGCCATAAGCGTGGCATCAGTATTTCTTGGGTTGACTTACTAGACAAGTAGGTGCCAAGTTTGGTCAAAAGTGATCCCTTTTAGTACACCCTTTTTTAACAGACTTTTCTACGACCTCGCCAGAGTACCTTTAAGGGGAGAGTATGGCCACTCTGGTCACCACCAGGGATTGGCTGGGCCGTCTTAGACTGAATGAAGCCTTCTAGGACCCAAAAATGGTGGACGCTGTAAGTAAATTGAATTACAAAAAGACTCAAAATGTAGTTTTATTTGCATATCGCAATGAGAACTTTACTCAATTGCATTATTACGACGTATCTACGTAGTTTTATTGGCGGAAGTCCGCCCAGGGACTGTGCCGCGGTTGCAGAGTCCTTAATAACCCTGTTCATAGGTTGACGCTGTGTCCCTTCTCTGAGGAGCCGAGAAAGGGCCTGCAAAGCCTAGAAATTGATCCAACACCCGAGAATCTCCTCGTCAGGGTTGCTTGAGCTCCATTATGCATGCGGAAAGCCCTAGCCAGAGATCGGACGGAGAAAATCGAGGCGCTGGAGGACTTCGACGTCGCCTCGACACACTCCAGCGATCCGGATGATTCCGGGCATCCAACGACAATACCATCGCGGGGGCGTCCACACAGGGACGCGAGCGACGTCTTAAGACGTGTGGTCGAGCGGGAGCACGAGTTAATGTAGAACCTGCCCTCACCACTTCACCTCACCAGAGGACAAAGTTTTAACATTCGGGCAGAACGTGCCTGGTACGACAGAAACAGCCCAAAGGAGGGGAGGGGGGAGGCAAGAGCCGAACCGCGCCATCAGCGTAGCTGGGGCCACATGCTGTCCGCTCGGAAGCCTTTCATCCGTGTGGTAACAAAACAAAAGGACACAAGTTAATAGAAAAATAGAAAAGAAAATACACAAATCAAAGAATGAATTCCATTTAATAGAACAAATAAAAATTACATATAACATACATTAAAACTTGAAAAAATTAAAATAAAAAAAAAAAAATTTTTCGTGAAAAGGGGGGAGAGAATAGCAAGTGGTATTAGAATAACCCTCCCCCCCCCCNAAAAAAAAGAGAGGTTAACAAGGACAAAGGACAAACCGATATTGATCGGGATAAAAGGAGATTTTCATATCTCTCAAATTCCACTAGCGATCAGCCATCTCACACAAATCACATCTTGCACTGATCATCTAACCTGAATTATACTATTGAGAATTTAGCAGAATGGACTACCAGACAAGTTACGAATTTCAGCATTCTGATACATGCTTCTTAACCAAAATCTCACGTAAAACACGATCCGCACAACGAAAATTACCGAAATCCACTCCTTACGAATACATTAGTGATTCTTGATGCGTGAATTCAAACTACCCGCTCAGTGCTCCGCGTGATTCACATCACGCGCTAAACGTTATCATGACAGTTTCTGCGATATATATTTTTTTTTAAATATCCGGGACATTCCCCCGCTATTTTTATTCAATATATATTACAAAACAAACATACAGGGTTATTCAAAAGTTACGCACCACTGGCCATAACTTTAGTTCTAATTGAATCAGCTATTACAGAAAGGGCACAATCGACATTTTTTTCGAAATTGAGTTTTTTGCGGTTTTCGCATTAGTGTATGTAGACACATCCTGTAGTGCAGATAGGGCACTATATTCGCATTTTTTATGTGTTTTTGACAGGGGTTAAGTTCCTCATGTAGAGCAGAAAGGGCACTGTTGCAGCAATATAGTGCCGTTTCTGCAGTACATGCCCACTGGGTGCGCGCGCATCGGCAGCGGCAACTCGTCGTTTGTTTTGTTTTGATACGATTGAGAGGTTAATTTTGCGTTTCGAAACGACAGTGATCACGCTACACGTATCACTCACGCTGAAAATGAAAGGAGTGAGAATTGAACCTTGAGTGTAGGAAGTGAGAGGAGCCCTTAACAGGTTGGATGAGGAAGTAGGTATTAGATTACTACGCTAATGAACTTCAAAGGATACATTTTTTTTAAAATTTCTTGACTTGAAATAAGCTAGAAATATTTTTAGAATTTACAGAGCTGTGGGCAAACCACATGTTGAAAGTTCGAAATCGCATACCATCAATTGCGACATTGCCAATTTTATTTCGTCTTCTTTTTTGTTCTTAAGTATTCTCTATTGAAATTTTGTGTAAATTTTCTTCACACCATCAAGATTGTTTTCTGAAAATTTCATGGGGAAATCTCTATTAGTTCTCTTTAAAAAAGTGGTATAAGAAGAGAGCAGAAATTTTTAAACGTTGCAATGGAGATATACAATTTCCAACTTTCGCTATAGACATGCATCATTGCCATACATTTGAGATGAAAAACAAGGGCTAAAATAATTTTCTGGCTTCATTCTATCACTCTTTATGGCTCCTTCCCCCATGTACTACAGAAAGGGCACTAATGCTCTTCCCTCAAGTGTCATTATTTACAACCCAGAAAGAGTATCATGTAAAATTTTTTTATGGAAATTGTCAGTCTACTTGGGGGACAAAAGAAAACCTCGAAAATTTTTTTTCCAAAAGCTTATAGTTTACTCAAATCAGTTTTTTGCATTTTCTGAACAGTTAACATTTCTGCAATAGTGCCCTTTCTGCAATATGTGATTCAATTATGATATCGATTTGCAGTTTGTGGCGTCCTTCCTCATATCGAGGGGGAAACTTTTTGAGGTACTTTTCAGTTCTTCACCCCCCCCCCCCCCCCCCCC